TATATATGTGGGTAAAATCTCAGGATATTATTAAAAATATGTTTTGCTCTTTCCGTTTTAAAAAAGAAACACAGAGCTTTCATATGAACATACATACTGAGACTGTGGCTGATTTGGCTGATAATCCCCTCCATGGTTTTGTCGACCACTTTGCTTTTGTCCTTTGTTGCCATGACGCCAGGGTTCAGCCTCAGTGCATGGACTCAGCACACAGGGTGACGGGATATTGTGGCTATTTTTCGTGTTCTTCCACCATCCCTGCAATTCCCTCTGCACTTACACTCACAATCACCGGGACATGTGTATCTGCTGGGTTCACAACCCCTGGTCACCATTTGTCCAGCAGGAAATTTCCTTTCGCTCTTGGTGTTGTAGTTTCATAACAGAAAGCCTCCATTTAACACTTAGAAGCAGGGGTGCTTCAACCTGCTTGTGGACCCTGGGGCTACAGGTGGTCATGGGCCTTATGGGTCTATTTATACACCACGTACAAAAGCTTAAGTTAGCTGCTTATTTGACAGGTTCTTTTTCAGATTTTAACCAGTGCGTTGCACCATTTAAGGTGGAACAAGAATTGTGAATAAGAAGCTGGCGAGCTGGAATCCAGTTTCAGCTACACCTGTACCTTTTAGCTTGAAAACAGTGAGTTTGAGAAGAACTTGTTAGCTGATACCAAGCATGATAAATCCACCAAATATATCAAAATTGATCTTGGAAAAAGTTTTATTCAATTAAAATCATACAAATACTGTAAATCGCAGCGCTTCAGGGTTGTGTGGTAGAGTTTGCTAAGTAAAACAATCAACATCGGGGCTCCCGAGTGGTGCAACCGTATAAGCGTTGGCCCTATCATCAGGAGATCGCGAGGTCGATCCCTGGTGATGCTACAGCCGTCCGTAGCCGGGAGTCCGAGAGAGCACAATTGGCCTCGCTCTCTCTGGGTGGGTAGGATGGCCCCTCCTTCTCCCCCCATCACTCAGCGCGATGCTAGTCAGCGCAGGCGTCTGTTAGCTGACGTAACAGATCTGGCGGTTGCCACTTTCCTCCGAGCGCGTTCGGCTGTCCAATGACGTTGCGTGAGCGGCAGCTCGAAAAGAAGCGGTGGTTGGCTTCACAGGTCTCGGAGGAAGCCTGTGTTAGCCTTCACCCTCCTAGCGTTGATAGCATCGTGTGATTGGGGGAGTCCTAACTAGCGGGTGGAATTGGAGACGACTAAACTGGGAAGAAAATCGAAAAAAAAAAACAAAAACATCACTAAAACTACTGAGGTCTATGACAAGCTACATCCTATGATTTGATCCAGTGACTTAGGCAGCAACACATTTTTGGGAAGGCTTGTGAAAAAGTGGGTGGGCCAACTTGCTAGACACAATTACCAAATGCACCAATAACCCACAATATCATAACGTCAGACTACAGTCTATTCAAGACAGCCATGCAGGCATCACTCTAACTGTTCCATCACTTCTGCTCTGTGGTGATACAAAACAATAACAATCATCTGGAATACTGGATTCCCAAACACATCCAACGCTGCAGCATCTGCTTTCTACAGGCACATTTGCCCAATGAAGATGACATGGCTGAGATAGAATCTGAGCTGAAATGTGCAAAGATGAGAAAAAACTTAAAAACCTGAACTTATTTTTGGCTTTGGATGAGTAGAAACCAGCAATCGGTTAAAGAATTGACATCCTTTAACTACAACTGGAGCTTCAAATGTAAGCACTGCCACGCTGATAATGAACTGAAGGCTTGAGACAATGACAGATAGCAACAGTTGCTGAGCAGCGATTGGATGGCTTAGGGCAGAAGGCAGAACTTGGCGGAGAGTTTGTGACAGAACTGTATGGGGGACGTATAGGAGGGTTATGATTTGCCATGATTTGGGCAGGTTGTGTCATAGATAGGCTTTTGCATAATCTGTGTGGAGCATTGGGGGGAATTGGGCCAATAACTGTTGACGAGTGGTATCCTGACCTTTAGTGACATTTCGTGGGATGGCTCATGGTGTTTCATCCCTGCACCACACAGTGTACTGTTCCTCTAGCCCCCCTCCCCCAAGAATCCCCCCATATTTCAAACTGTAACTCTGATCTGCTGTGTGGAGTACCACTGGACGGTCATGGGTTCTAAGGCCATACTTGAGCCATGCGATAGTCAATTATCCACTCAGCATTGCTGAGGTTAAGCAAACATTGCTGTATTGTCACAATTTGCCAAATTATTATCAGAAGTATCTGATGATATGCTATTTATAACGATGATTTCCATGGCAATAAGGATGTTACAGTGACTGGAGAAGACTTCATACTTGACTCGACTTGAAGACTTGACCTTAGAGATTCAAGACTTGACTCGGACTCGCACTTCAGAGATTTTAGACCCAAACTCGGGCTTACCACAGAGACTCAGGACTTGACTTGGACTCACCTCAAAGATTCGAGACTTGACTCAGACTTGCACCTCAGAGATTCAAGATTTGACTTTGACTTGCACTCAGCAACTTGAGACTTGACCCGGACTCACCTCAAAGATTCGAGACTTGACTCAGACTTGCACCTCAGAGATTCAAGATTTGACTTTGACTTGCACTCAGCAACTCGAGACTTGACCCAGACTCACCTCAGACATTTGGGATTCAACTCACAATTCAGAGGCTTGAGACTAGAATCAGACACCCGCATCTGAGAGACTTAAGATTCAACTCACTTCAAAAACTCAAGGCTTGACCCAGACTTGCATATCAGAGACTTTAGACTTGACTCTGACTCTAGGCTCCAGTTTTAACTCAGACTCACCTCAGGACTTTAGACTAAACTCTGACTCACCTCAGGGACCCGAGACTTGACTTGGACTCGCACCTTAGAGACCTGAGACTTGACTCAGACGTGCATATCAGAGACTTTAGACTCGACTCTGACTCTAGGCTCCAGTTTTAACTCAGACTCACCTCAGGACTTTAGACTCAACTCTGACTCACCTCAGGGACCCGAGACTTGACTTGGACTCGCACCTTAGAGACCTGAGACTCAGATTTGCATATCAGAAACTTTAGACTCGACTCTGACCCTAGGCTCCAGTTTTAACTCAGACTCACCTCAGAGACTTTAGACTCAACTCTGACTCAACTCAGGGACCCGAGACTTGACTTGGACTCGCACCTTAGAGACTTGAGACTTGACTCAGACGTGCACCTCAGAGATTTGAGACTTGACTCTGACTCACCTCGAAGGCTCGAGACTTGACTCGGACTCACTTTAGACACTCGAGACTTGACTCTGACTCACACCTCAGACATTTGGGATTTGACTCAGACTCACAGCTCAGAGACTTGAAATTTGAGAGACTTGAGACTCGACTCAGACTCACATGCAGTGACTTGTGAACATCTTTATTGGTACTGATGCACTTTTGTACTTAGTACAGTTGAAATCACTCCACTGAAAGGATCTTTAAGGAGCTGACAGTGGTTTGTTTATGGCGCTATTGTGGATGATTGTTGATAATCTATAAAATACTTCAGATTTTTGATCACTTTTTACCTGCGGAAAAGTCAGAAACCTCAACTCATGATGGGCTTTTGCTGTTAAAAACTCAGTTCTACCACATTCGTATTTAAAATGGACAATTTCCACCGTCAAACTAGAACTTTGTGCATGCGTGGGAGCGAGCGAGAAAGAGAGAGAGAGATCGATTGTCGAAAACGGTTGTCCTTTTGCTCTCTTCGTCTTTTTCTTTCATCCCCCACTTCTAACTTCTGCTTTGACTCCTCTCCCACTTGGAATATCTGTACATAACACGAGTGAACTTAGTCAAACGCAGGCTCTCGGAAAAAAACCCTGACATTTCCTGACCTCCGCGCTCTCCGCTTTAGAAACGCTTTTAAAAAGAAGACCTTGGCGAGTGTAGCTATAAACTGAAAGAACTTCCAGAACTTTCTGCTATTCAACTCGTGAGCAAAAGCCCTGCCACCAGTGGCCTGCAGAGTGAATCATGTATTCATGAAATTGTCGGTATTTTCATGGAGTCAGACTCCACGTTCTTAGTTAAATGCAAGAGAGCAAGTTCATTACGGTGTAGTGTGCATGGGCAATGCAGTTCTAAGAGTCAGTTGCATAAGAATAAGGTGACTCGTCTAAATGTTTCAGAGCCGACTTTGCAAACAGTGAATAAATATTTCAAATAAGGTTAAATTATGAAAACCCTTGTAGTTTTGAGTTAAAAACAACTGAATTTTCCTCACCATTCACTTTCCAATCCTTACAGTCCATATATGTAAACTAAGCTGTGAACTGGATCAGTTTTGTGATGTCACAAAAACTAGACACTTATTAAAATCCACCAATTCTGGCCACAGCCCATTCACACTGAAATTATAAGGAGTGTTTCAACACTGACTGCAGCCAATCAGAACGGAGCTCATATGCATATACCAGCAGCATTTTGTGATGTCACAATAAATATATGTATATGTCAATTCAGGCCACAGTCCATTCACACTGAAGTTATAAGGAGTGTTTCAACCCTTATTGCTTTTTAAATGACAGCAAAACAGTGCAGCCAATCAGAAAAGAGCTAATTTGCATATACCAGCTGCATTTTGTGATGCCACAAAAACTACACAATGATATATATCCGCCAGTTCAGGCCACAGTCCATTCACACTGAAGTTATGAGGAGAGTTTCAACCATGACTGCTTTTTAAATAAGGACAACACAGTGCAGCCAATCAGAACAGAGCTCTTTTGCATACACCAGCTTTAAGGCGCGGTAACAAAAACTGCCTGTTTAATTCTAAAGTTGGAAAATAGTCATGTAAAATGAATCACAAGTGTTTTGGAACCCATACAAACATCATAAGTCAGTCATTTACCTAAAAGTCATGTAAAATGAATTCAATGCTAACAAATAAACAGTCATTACATCACACGGTAGACAGATTATGTTTATTATATTGATGTAAATATGTTTAAATCTTGAAACTTGTCTTTTTACAGATCAACAAAGACACATCCAGGGCCAGTGGTCCACTTGAGTGACAGCCCAAAAGATGAAGGGAAGGTAAGACAGTGCTGTTGTCTTTTAATCCTTTTTTATATTATGGACAGTTGCAGGGCTTTGTGTAGAATATGGAGACAAAATTTGGAAGACAAATGTCTTGTTTATACGTAAATTATTAACATCATTAATGTTTAAATGTATATATATTTTGATCCTCTGACCCATGTGTTGTAGTGCAGGGTGAAGCCCAGCTGCAGCATTATTTTCAATTAATATAATCAAATGATGAATTAACAGAATGTAAAATGAATTTTGTCCCATTTGTGATGTTAGATGTCATTTTTACAGTGCTGTTGTCTCTCTGTATGTGAAATGTTGTGACTCTGTGTTGAGCTGCTAGTGAGCAGTGGTGGGGGAAATGGGAGGAAGTCAAACTCTCCACAAAGATGAGATATGGCCAGCATAACTGCCACTTTCTTTATATCAAAAACTGAAATCATTTAACCACAATAAAAAAAAAACTTTTATACTACTCGCTGATCTGAAAAATGAAAACTCACTTTCTGGCTTTGTAAATCAGTCCATCATACAAATACATTGACCAGCCAATAATGTTTCTACATTATTGTCCATTTTATCAGCTCCACTGACCACATAGGAGTGCTTTGTAGTTCTACAGTTACAGACTGTAGTCCATCTGTTTCTCTGAATGCTTTGTTAGCCTGTTCTTCAGTGGTCAGGACCCCCACAGAGCAGATATTATTTGGGTGGTGGATCATTCTCAGCACTGCAGTAACACTGACGTGGTGGTGGTGTGTTAGTGTGTGTTGCACTGTCCACTCTATTAGACACTCCTACCTTGTTGGACCTTGTAGATGTAAAGTCAGAGACGATAGGTCATCTGCTGCTGCACAGTTTGTGTTGGTCATCCTCTAGTCCTTCAACAGCGGTCACAGGACGCTGCCCACAGGACGCTGTTGGCTGGATATTTTGGTTCTCTGTCCAGCAGCGACACTGAGGTCTTAAAAACTCCAGCAGCACTGCTGTGTCTGATCCACTCGCACCAGCGCAACACACACTAACACACCACCACCACGTCAGTGTTACTGCAGTGCTGAGAATGATCCACCACCCAAATAATACCTGCTCTGTGGGGGTCCTGTGAGGGTCCTGACCATTATAGAACGGGCTAACAAAGTATGCAGAGACACAGATGGACTACAGTCTGTAACTGTAGAACTAAAAAGTGCTCCTATATGGTCAGTGGAGCTGATAAAATGGACAATGAGTGTAGATACAGGGTAGGTGCATGTAATGAATTGGCCTGTTTATATTCCATTATTAAATACAAAAAGGCATAATTCAAATGAGAGACATCCAATTTTATGGCTAATGAAAAATGATGTGATTGTTGACAATAAAGAGTTTTAGCTTCTAATCCAATGTATGATACTTCATATAATATCTAGACAGTATTGGTTTATCTCTGAAAGTGACACTAATATCATCAACATCTGCCCTCTATGAACGAATGTCTTTCACTTGGCTGCTACTGGTGACCCTCATCTGCCCTGACACTCTACTGAAGCTGTTAAGTGCACCACTCTTTTTTTTTTTTACAGTTAGGGGACTTGGTGTTGTACATGCTGTCCCTTCCAGAGGCTGTGTCCACTCCAATCGATTCTCTAAATCTTTCTCAGATTGTCAAAGACCAAACCATATCTCTCCTCATACTCAACCCACATCAATTCAGTTTGATTGACCTTATTGTGACAGATCACTCCTGCCACTGCCAGTCAGCTGCTGTTCCTGGATATGAGCAGCCACTGTGTCGTAGGGTGTCATTGCACCTGATTTTGTGTGGAATTTGGGAACTGGGAAGTCAGTGGTCCCTTTGCTACATTAAGCTAGACTGTTTAATTACTGACCGTTGCTTGTTTTTGATGACTAAGGCCAGAGACATTCTCAGCACAAGGCCAATGCATTGCAAATGTTGTGAGGTACTCAAGGGGGAAAATCAGAGATCTACTGTTATTCCAGGAGCCAAAACATCTCTACTTCTCTCCTGTCATGGCACCTTATTATCATAATTGAATTAGATTTTGAATTTAATGTTTAATTTCTTCTCTTTTGAAGCTATATGGTTTTAATTTCCTTTCTCCTACATCTTTTTTTCCATTTTCATTTGAATTATCTTTGTAATTTTTTATTTGTAAAGCACTTTGAATGAGCTCCTTTTTTGGGAGTCCAGTTAGGAGACCATTACAGTGATCAATCCTGCTAGAAATAAAGGTATGGACGCTTTAGTCAGAGAATCTCTGATCTTGGTGATGTTCTTAAGGTGATAAAAAGCTGATTCAGTAGCTGCTTTGACACGACTGCTAAAACAGATCAGAGTCCATTAATACACTAAAGTTACGTGCTAGTTATTTAGATTTCAGAGCTCTCAAATCCAGACAGGCAGCTAGTCTGTGCCTCTCAGTGCTATTCCTGGGTAAAATATACAACTGCAGAAAGTTTTGTCCCATCCAGTTAGTGATGTGCTCAAGGCACTTACAAAGTGAGTCAAGGGGACCATGGGTATTTGGGGAGAGGGCCAAGTAGATCTGAGTATCATCTGCATAGCTGTGGTAAGATATCCCGTAGTCTTTTAGGAGTTAGCCAAGAGGAAGCTTGTATAAATTAAATAAGAGCGGCCCTAGAATCGAACCCTGGGGGACACCACAGGTCACTGGCACTCTCTTTTAGAAACATTAGTTTCTATTTCGAAAAAGTAGTCCCTGCCTTGCAGGTATGAACTGAACCATTTTAGGAGTCCAACCTAGTTCTCAAGTCAATCTATAAGAATTCAGTGGTCAGTGGTCACAAAAGCAGCCCTGAGATCGAGCAATATTAGAAGAGATATTTTTCCTGAGTCTGTGTTTAAACGAATGTCATTAATGTTAACTTTAATTAGAGCCGTCTCAGAACTATTAGTCCGTAATCTTGACTAAAGTTTGTCTAGACAGCTATTTAAGGATGGAAAGCCGATAAGTTGCTGGAAGATTCAATGATTTTTCAAGTTAAAGGTAGATTTGAAACAGATCTGTAATTAATTATTAGAGTCACTTTCAGACTTTTCTTTTTTAAAAGAGGCTTCACAAGTTTTTAAAAACAGCCAACATGAGTGAAGCATGGAGTATCTGAAGTGTGTCCACTGCTGTTGAGTGAAACTCATTCTTTAAAAATGTGTCAAGACTGCAAGTGGATGATTTGAGATGATTCACTGTGTGAATTCAAATTTCATCATTAATAACACTAAACTGGGACATTTTAACAGTGATATCTTTTACATGGTATTGGAGAAAACACAGGCTCATTGGTGGATATAGACATGTCGAATTATGGATTTTAGTGTTAAAAAAGTCATTCCATCTCCTAGTTGGTACTAATTCAGTGACCATATGCGCAGGTGACTCAGTTTGTCTACCATGGTCGATGAGTATTTTGCTATTGTTAATATTATTGTTGATAATGCTGGAGAAGAAGCCTTTTCCACATTACTGTATTGTAATCTCACAGCCTATCTTTGAAAATATCTTTGTGAATTTGAAGCTTGATTTTTACACCTTCTACATTCAGCCTTCCTCCATTCTCTCTTTTGGAGTTCAACTGCCATAGCATTCCTTCCTGATGCTTTCTATTCACACAACATGGTTTTAACTATAACTGGTGCAATATCGTCCATAACACTGACAGTTTTTGAGTTGAAGCTATTCAGCAGAGCATCAACAGAATCGAATGGTTTGCATGGTGCAATGCACATTTTGCTTATGAGGAGTGTAGCTGTGCTGTCATTCATAAACCTTCTCATAAAACAGACGTCTGAGCTTGCTGTCTAGTGAGCTGTCTACATTTCAAAGACAAAATAGTAATTATCCCACAAACCAGCATGCTTAGTAGTGGTTGATATGTTGAGACCCTTTGAGATACCCACGCCCAGAGTGTGGCCATGGCAGAATGTGCTCTTGCTTAGATGCTGTGAGAGTCCTAAAGAGTCTAACACAGAGGTCAGAGTTTTATTGCACACTATTATAACCTAAGAATAGCTCAACTGGTTTGCATTGGAGTCCCTGTAGTTACTGAATAATAAGCCTTAATCCTTATTTGGACAAGGTAAGTTTTTGGGTAAAGCAACTTCAGGGCGCCTGTAATGTTTATAAGCAATTGACACGTAATCCCAGTCTACATGACAGGGATGGGAGTGGCTAGGGATGGTGAATAAAGTAATATAAGTTTGGATTTTGTGAATTTTTTGTGGATTTTCCGAAAAAGCTGTGGTAAGATATCCCGTAGTGTTGTAGTAGTCAGCCAAAAGGAAGCATGTATAAATTAAAAAGAGCGGCCCTAGAACTGAACCCTGGGGGACACCACAGGTCACTGGCTCGCTCTCAGAAACATTGGTTCCTATTTTGAAAAAGTAGTTCCTGCCTTGCAGGTATGAACTGAACCATTTTAGAAGTCCAACCTAGTTTTCAAGTCAGTCTCTAAGAATTCAGTGGTCAGTGGTCACAAAAGCAGCACTGAGATTGAGAAATAGTAGAAGCGATATTTTTCCTGAGTCTGTGTTGAAATGAATGTCATTAATGACCTTAATTAGATCAGTCTCAGAACTAAGAGACTGCAGTTACTGAATAATAAGCCTTTAACCACATTTGGACAGGACTAGTTTTTGGGTAATGTAACTTCAGGGCGCCTGTAATGTTTCATGAGCGATTCACACATGATCCCAGTCTAAATGACAGGGATGGGAGTGGCAAGGGATGGTGATTAAATTAATATAAGGTTGGATTTTGTGATTTTACATAAACAGCTCAGTAACTGAAAGACTTACACGCCCTGAAAACACTCTTTGGCACAGATCTCTTTAAAACGCTGATAAACCACTCTGAATTTTGGTGGGAGACCACGGCTAGGAAATGGGGTGATGTGGTCAGAAGCTTGGGGTGCTTGACCTTCTATAACAATGTAAAACGTCCATGTTAAACTTGTGCCCTGCATTAGGTTGTTCCCTGCGCTCCCCTACCAAATGATTGGGAGAATATTGGCTAAGGAAAGCTAATACTTTCTATCTCAAGTGAAAAATGAATGAATATTCTGCATATTTTTCTCTACAAACTTAACAAAACATGTAGTCTTTTTCTAATGTAAGTGAGCCCAGCATGATTACTGGTTGACATTTAAGGTTTCAGTAATTCAGACTCGTGCTGTTACTTATCTGTCAAGAAGCATATCTCCCTAGCTGGCGTCTGACAGAGCGTTCAGGGTGATGATGCTAATGCTAATGATTCTTCCTAAGTGAACATATCCCTGTGCATAATTAGTGTGGAACTGCAGCCTTTACTTAACAGTCTCACCTTCACCTCAGTGCTAGCGCTTAGCGCCCCTAATGCAGCGGACAAGCCTTGAGGTGTGTTCTTTCTGGAGAGGTTATGACTTTACATTCCCTCCTGAGCTTAACATACGCTCGCGCTCGCTCACTCATTCACTCTCTCTCTCTCTCTCTCTCTCTCTCTCTCTCTCTCTCTGCATCAGTATTTTAGCCTTAACTTTAATTTAGCAACTTCATCCGATGTTCTCTTACTCATATATAAGACATTAGGCACTTTCCTGAAAAGATGTGACGTATAAAATATGAACTATGTCATCTTCCTCATATCTTGCCTTTACTTTTCTATGATTGGGCAAAAATGCATCCATTTTTAATGCAGTTCTCTTAAAATGCATGTGGGTCCACTGGGACTCGCTCACAGTATCTTATAAAAATATGTCCTGTTTTTTAACGGAAGTTCCTGTATGTAATTATATGTCCCATATGAATTATATACATCTATGTCTATATTTCAACATTTAAAAAAAAAAAAAATCAAAGGGGAAAAATATCCCATACTAAGTTACTTTATCTATTTGTTTAATTATTGCTTATTTTGGTAGTTTACAGATAAATGATTTGTTGTTAAGACTATTAAAAGTTGTATATGTATGTGTGTGTATATGTATGTGAATCATTTGTACAGTGTATATATATATATATACACACTGTACAAATGATTCAGTGTTCTAACTATAAAGAAGTAAGTAACCTGGTTGCCTTCAGATTTTGAGTTCACTGAACTTCAAATAATAAGTTACAAAAGGTAAAACTCATTATTGTTCTATTGGAAGTTCTACTTACTATTAGAAATTCAATGAATTAAAAATTTTAAGTCAACTAGATTACTTACTTTTTTAAGCTAAAACACTGATATACAGATTCTTATATAAGAATCCACTATATATATATATATATATATATATATATATATATATATATCGTCGCTGTCCAAAGAAAAACAAGCATCTCCAAAATAGTAACTTTACAGGAGAAGTCAAAAACTCTCTTACCTTTCAATGTAAGTTAATGTAAAGAGATTTTATTTCAAGTGGCTTTAGAGCATTTCTATTGGTCCATTCACCATGGAACACCAAGGACAGTGTGTGTGTTGAAATGATGTAGAAAAATAAAAATCGACAAAAATGGAGATACCTTTCTTTGGACAGTGATGATGTATACATTATATCAATAAGCTACGAGAGGCTGTGTGTTACTGCAATTTTGGGTATTATATATATATATATATATATATATATATATATATATATATAGTACCCAAATGCTACCTAGCTAGTGGGTAGAATCTAAACAGGGGAGCAAAACTGGGTAAAAATCACCTCTCTGAAAAAGAAATACATACCAGGTAATGATTGAAGAGTAGCGTATTGTTTTTGAGAGTATGAAAAACAACCGAAAGAGAGAGAGAAGAAATGAATGAGAGGAAAAGAAGAGAGAGAGCAGGGGAGAGAGAGAGAGACAGTGAGTGAGAGTGGACGAGGTATTTGAGGTGAAGGTGGAAGTCTATGTCAGCAAAATTGTTGAATGGACCTGCCAAGCGATTCTGAATTAATGAGGTTTGCATAGACACGCACAGGTGAATCTGTACCCCCGGGACCTCCTTGGACTTCCATACGCCATAATCCTGACAAATCCTTTATAGAGACAGCTAGAGAGAGAGAGAGAGAGAGAGAGAGAGATGTGATGCGATATGGGTGGTTGAGTTAGAGTCTGTACGATGTTATCAGTGTGTTCTTTCGCTTCTTTTTGAATAATGAATGAAATGAATGAAAGTCGCTGTTCTACACTGCGTCCTCAGTAATGCAGTGAATGCAACTGCCTCACTCTCACATTCTGTGACTGTAGCTTTGATTGAGTTCATTGAAATGTTCCATTTGTGATTGAGCTACAGTTGCTCTCCGTGCTCTGGCCACAAATGCATTCTTTCATAGCTACCGTTGCCAGATTTGATAAACTCTTACAAGCCAGACTTTTGCCTATCCTCCAAGAGTCTGGTGCGTTTCATCGCTCAGTTTGACCAAGAACCTTCTACTTTGACCAAAAAGTGGGACAGATTGAGATGCAAATCAACTAACCGTTGTTTAAGCATGATGTTCAGGGCTGAACCAACCAATCATTAACTGTTGTTTAAGCATGACATGTAGGGGCAATTGTAAACAGTACTACAACAAAAATAGACCCATAGGAAACAAAGTGGTTCAAGTCAGTAAAATATGTAGTCGTCACAAAAAGGATGCTGGTCGCCCGGCCGGGGAATCGAACCCAGGCCCTTCTTGCTGTGAGGCGACAGTTCTAAGATACTGTTTATTAGCTACTAAATTCTTCAAAAGAAAGTCTTGAACAGCTTTTAAAGATGAGACATTGTAAAATATTTGACTTTAGTGCCCATATTTCACTTTCGAATGGCTCACTGTTGTTGTGGTGTGCAGAACCACAGGAACGTCTGCTGGTGACTAGCTAGAACTTAGCTTAATAAACAAAAGATCAGTTCTCGTAGGGCTGATAAAAAAAAGCACTGCTTAGAAGTGTGGATAGCCAGTCTGACCAAATCTCAATACTTCTAGCCATCATAGTGTACCATATATATTAGGTGTTTTGCATACCTGTGGGTGGAGCCTCTGAGCAAAATGAGAACTTGTTGTTTCCTTCTTGCCTAGTTTTGATTGACAACAACACAATCCAGAACTGTAGCACAGCGTTTAATTAATAAACATGTTATCATTAAAGTGACTCTATGCAAACATTGCAGTGGTTTGAAGTAAATAATTTATGTAAAGCATAATTTATGCAGATTGTTCTGAGGTCTGCTACAATTTCTCATTAGATTAAAAGGTATTTTTTCCAGTGATTTCGTTACGATGTCAACACAGATCAGACGCCCGCAGATAAAAGGACAAGGCTTAAATTTACTTGAGGTTTTGGTGAAGGTACAGAGGGCGTAGTCAGGACAGGCTAGGGTCAGAACCAGAGAGCAAGAGAACCAAAACAAACGGGACATCCAGAGAGTAGCCAAAAACCAGTCCGAGTTCAAAAAACCAAAATTTCATGCAGGATCCAGCAAACGAACCAAAAGCGGCAATGACAAAAAGGGCAGGTCAGAAATACGGAAAAACAGGTCATACACACAAGAACTTACACAAACAGTGACCACTCAGTACACAACCAAAGGTGTTGGCAGTACTTCACAAAGTTCTAAGCTAAAGCCTGGGCTTTATATACTAACTGACTAATGAAGTACAATGAAAAACAGGTGTGACAGTTTAGAATTCTGGTGAGGATGAACACTGAAATGAATGTTCATTGGTTGATGACGATGGAATAAGAGTCACGTGGTCTCCCACTGATTCATGGGAGTTGGAGTCCTCTGGGCCGTTCAAGGACTCAAGTGATCTGAGGAAAAAGGAACAGGTGGAGGAGGCGTCCTCAGCAGGAGGCGTGACCGTTTTTCCCAACCTATTCACAGTAGCTGTGAAAGAGTGCGTTTGTAAGCAGAGCATGGAGAGGTCAATTGTGAAATGGCTCTTAATGTAAAATCAAAACTTCATAGCTTTGAAACTAAGAAACCTATGTAGAAACTAAGATGGGAAAACAGCTCAATTTGAATTCTTTGTTTTTGTGATGTCACAGGAACCAGTGTGGTTACATATATCAGCCTGTTTGGCCTGTAGCAGTTTAGCCCCGCCCATTTACGCTGAAGTTATAAGGAGTGTTTCAGCTTGGACAGCTTTTTGAACAAGGAACAATACAGGGCAGCCAGTCAGAACAGAGGTTATTTACATATATTAGTCTTAAAAGCACAGTAATAAGAACAGCTTGTTTAATTCTAAGGGATAAAGCATTTGCAAAATTGATTTATGACTGATTTTGGTGCATAAACCCTCATAAATGTCATTAAAGGACCTCAGGGGAGGCCCTTTGAAGTAAAGTCAGTTCTGTTTAACCTTCCTCTTCCTCAGACCTTCCTCTAATGGTGCTGTTTTTGTTTTTCTCTGATTCTTCAGTTGCTGATTGGTTTTGAAAGCGGCACCATCGTAATGTGGGACCTCAGATCCAAACGAGCCGACTTCAGAATCTACTATGATGAGGTGAGTGTGAGTGTGTGGTTGTGGGTTTATGTGTGTGCTGGAATATTTTTCCACACCTCCAAAGTTGAGTCTTAGAAGTTGGTTGTATTTTCTGCTTCTCACAATCCAAATAAACCCAAACACATTCAGTGGTGTTGAGGTCTGGACTCTGGGGTGGTCAGTCCATTGTTCAGCTTCTTTGTTTGATGTGTCCGTCTCCTTTTCTCAGTGAGGTTCTTCTTGACAGCTACAACTCCTTTCAGACCCACAGCGCTGAGTCGTCTTCTCACAGTGGAAGGATGGACAGAAACACCTGTGGATGTTTTCAGATCTGAAGCAGCTTGATTTTCTCCTCTCTCTCAGAGATGAAAGCTTTAAGTGCTGTTTATCTGATGGGGGTAGTTTTCAGGTCTCTCAAGTGGTTGTTAGGGGTTTTCAGGTCTTTCAGGTGATTGTTAGGGGTTTTCAGATCTTATAGGTGATTGATAGGAATTTTCAGGTCTTTCAAGTTGTTGTTAAGGGATTTAACATCTTTCAGGTTGTTATACGTTTTCAGGGTTTTCAGGTGGTTGATAAGGGTCTTCAGGTCTTTCAGGTGATTGTTAGGGGTTTTCAGGTCATTTCAGGTCATTCAGTTGGTTTGATATTTTTGAATTATTTGATTATTATGAATTTTATATTTTTTGAACTCCCGTTTTGCAGTTTTTGAACTCTCCTTCCTTATGTAAGTGGATTATTTTAAATCTAATCTTCTCAGGAATATCTATGAAAAATGAATAACTTGTATTTAATGGCTGAATAAATGAGGGGGAAGTGTCTGAGTTATATATATATAAATATATGTATTGCACATTTTTTCTACAGGTTACATCTGGCTCTAAACCTGAGCGCCAAGAAAACTCTGAACAGAATCAAATCAGTAAAACAGAGAAAGTCTGAGGCTCTGAGTTCTCTGCACTGCGTCTGTATCTCCTCTTTCTGAATCGATCTGGCCCCGCGCTCTGTGGCGGGTGTTTGGCTGCGTCTTCGCTGCTGTTTTTATTCCTGACTTTGTTCCCGATTCAGAAACTCCGTTGAATGGGAGTCTGTCACTTCTTCAGATCTGATTCTCCTCGATTCGCTGCATGTGTGAGTGCGAACGTGTGCGTGTTTGTGTTCAGTGTAATCTCAGCTTGGCTGCTGTCTGTGCTGGCTCTGACTTCACTGTTTCTGATAGAGCTCTGCCACTACAGCTGCTCCTCTTCTGTCACAGAGGACGTTCATGAACTACCAGCTATTCATGCACTCAGTCAGTAAGACTGGTTGTAAATGTATCCTGCCTGTGGTTGTATTTAGAAGCCTATGTCACGTCTATAGTGCAACTGAAATGGTAATGTTAGCTATCCTGCATGGCGTGCTCTGAAACTTACTTAGTGTTGTCCAACAAAATCCCGCATAGCTAACGTTAAACGTGCTAGTTTGCGGCTCATCTTCACAGCTTCATCTCTCAAAGCATTTTTTCACTAACCTTTACTATTACATATACATTTGCTTCAAAATGTCTTTACCTACAATTCAGAACATCTAAATTCTAGATACATTTGCTGGTGCAGCAAAATGGAACCTGGCTAGCATTAGCCCGCTAGCTAGCTACCTTACAGCTTTCAGGCTAGCATGTTCACAACTGACACAACGAGTTTCTTGTTACATTTTTTCACTGATTTGTTAGCATTTAGGCTTACAAATGACGTCACCTGTGCTTCATGACTTCAAGAACAATCATCAAAAAAATCTGAATCTTTATTCACCAGTATCGGTTCCAGTATCAGCATATGATAAGAGTTATGTCACGGTATATACAGTGGTTCAGTGCATTACAGTCAGGGATGGGGGGAGTAGCTAAGTAGCGCGCTACTTTTGTAGTTAACTACACATTTTTGCAGCTAATAGCTGAAGCCGCTACAGTTTTATGAAATGTAGCTAGTAGCTGTAGCGCATACAAATGTTTTTGTAGCTATAGCGAAGATTTTCACTACAATTTCGCTACAGGCTTCAGGCAATCCATGCAAAATCTGAACCACAGAACACAGCCGTTAACTGGGCTGGTGGCGATTGTGCAATCCTGATTGAGCCGTGGACAGTTCGAGCAAACGGTCACACGCTGATCACCCCTTAGGCTTAGCTCAGGGGTCGCAACCGAAATGTTAAGAAGAGCCATTTTGTCCTTTCAGAAAAAATGAAACCGCTTTGGGAGCCACAACATTTTATGTACGTTTTACCATCTTGGCTGTAAACATGTCTCAGTGTGTGCTAAAGTGCCACTACAGGCTAAAAATATATATGAAAAACGCAGACTTACTTTGCTCTGCTTTAAGCTTTAGCTCAGCTATAGCCGCTTTTCTCGCATATCAGGAAACTTTTCCACAAGTTTCTTGTAAAATGTCTCTCAATGTTCTTTTTACGAAGCTGAAGTCGCTTCTCATTCGCCAGCTTCTCGTTCAAATTGTCCCGTTCCACCTTAAATGGTGCCTGAGGTGCCAAATTGTACTGCTGCACCATTTAAGGTGGAATGGGAAAATTCGAACAAGAAGTTGTTGAATGAGAAGCGACTTCAGCTTCGTGACTTGTTGCAGATACCAGCCGAGTGATTATAAATGCAAATAAGTCCATTCGTCTCCAAATGATCGATGTTCATCTTAAATCACCGTTTGCCTTTTTCGTCGTCTGCATTGCTGTGTGTCCAGCAGTCTGCACGTCAGTCTTCAGCGTTTACGACCATTTATTGTGAAAACTGTGTTAGAACTGTGTGTTATAATGATTGTACAGTGAAGGAGGATTATGTTTTTTTACCTAAAAATCTAGCTCTGCTGTGGAGCCGCAGCAGCTCTGCCACAGTGGAGAGATTATTCAGGCCTGATTCTCAGCCCAAACAGAGCCAGAGTCACTGATGAGGATGAAGTGTTGCTGAAGTTTAATAAAGGACTCTGAATGTCATGTCTGTAAATATGTTGCTGAAATGTTCAAATTGGAGCAATTTTATTTCAACCATTGACAATTCTTTGCACAAAATTGTTTGGTTTGTATTCGGTTATTTTTGTTGATTTTTGGTAGGAAAAACCTGGAATGATTGACTTTGCCTTTACTTAATCTAAATTTTTGTTTGCATATCACGCCTTTGGTTGTGAGGTTTGATTGTTGGTGACACTTAAACTTAATTTTTGATGATCCTTTTGTAAATTTGCAGCTTTTCAATTGGATGTTTCTCTGTGGCACATGATCAAATACGGTGTCTTGTTCACACTTTCAATTGGGCTTGTTTGCTGTGTCAGGTGGAGATCGGAGATCTTTAGGCCTCGCACTCTTAGTCTCCGCTGACATGGAGAAGTGAGCCGGGTGTGGGGGGTAGCCATTATTTCCCCACCATCTTCCTCATCCTAGATGAGTAAAGGTCTTCGAGGGCAGAGGGCAGAGAGCCGACAGCTCTGATTTTCTCTGCACGTTGCAGCTTTCTCTTAAGCTTACGTTCGATGTGCGAAGATGCAGAGCCCAACCGGATGGAGATGGAGGATGTGATGATGGACTCTATTATGACAGGGTAGAACTGGACCAGCAGCCCAAACTTCTTGAGCTGTCACAGAAAATACAAGTACTGCTGGGCCTTCTTCATAACTGCAGTGCCGTGTCTGTCCTGTTTGAGATCCTGCTGAATGGTGGTGCCCAGGAATTTGTGAAACTCTGCTCTGCGGTCTGTGGAGCCGTGTATTCCCAGTGGAGGCTTGACCTTAAAAAGCAGTGTGGCTGCAGCACGACCCTAACCTGTGATGATTAGCCAACTGTAGAGCATATATTTGATGTAAACAATAGATCTAGATAATAACATATGCGATTCATAGACGGCAAACTGTGGTAGCCCTACAGCTAACTGCTACAGCTAACAGCTAACTCTATTGGGCCTAATTGGCCTCACAACATGAAATGATATTTAGACCTATAACTAGACATAGCATTCTTACTTACACACCGATAGAGCAGCAGCAGTAGTTCTAGGGATTTACATTGTTCTAACATACATTAAACAATGAAAAAGAGTTAGTACTGACCCCACCATGCAAGTAAAGTTCCCCGTCAGTATATAGTTGTTTGGCTTGTTTGTAGTAACCCATGGCTTGTATAGCTGTGTTCTATACCCTTGTTGCTGGCTGGGCAGTACGTTGGTCCACAAAAACATTCAACAGATCTCACTATTCAAGGTCCTGGAGATGACCAATGAATTTTTTTGTGCCAGGAAATTTGTTTGCCTTGGGTTTTTTCTTTTGTTGGTTTTTCCCCATGGTAGACAGAGACGTCTGGCCACTGTTACTTGGCCATTTAGTTGGATCCTTGAGACCTGAGAGAGAGTACAGGTCAGGAAGGGTCAGCTTATTAGTGTACAACCTGTCTTCTGCTGGCAAAAAAATAACTGGAGGAGGCATCTGGATGATTCATATTCCTATATTCCTACACCTGACACCGCTATGTTTCTGACTATCTGATACCAGTTAAGCTCCGCCCACAAAACACGTCATCTCTGCTCACAGACACAAAACTGGTCCTTGCATTTGCCAAAATGTGGACACTTTTATGATGTATTTTAAATTGTGGACATAAATATTGAGATGTGTTTACATGATTTTAGCACAATCAGAGCTTGGCTGGTCTCAATGCTGGCTTAGGCTTTACTGTGTTCCTGCAGGACCCTGCTACAGCTACTGCTATTCACTAGCCCACCCATTCCCTGAACCTTTAGCATTTAAAAAGCTTGTCTTCTTACTTTGACCCCTCAAAACAGTGGTGGTGGGGGGGTGGTGCTGGGGTTTAGGGGGTTGTGTGAGGTAAAATCAGCTCAGTGAGTGTTCAGAATGTGTGTAAGTGTCTGGGGTTCTACTAATTTCTTGGTTCTGATGTGCGCCTGGAACACCAGCGTATGTGAAAAGTGAAAGAAATTCATTGAAATGAAAGAGACAGGGAGACAGAGAGAGAGAGAGAGAGAGAGAGAGAGAGGC